TGTGCAACAATTGACTTTTCCTTCCTTTTTGCTACAGCCTACAGTAGTTGGATAATAATTAGCAAGTCAAACTGTCTTTATGTCAATCAAGTAAGGAAGTGGTTGGCAAAAGATAGGTTCCCAGCACACGCACACTCACTCATGCACAATGGCACAAAACCAACACTGCACAGGCACAGCAATCTCAATACAAATGAATTTGATTTCTCTTTCCTCCCTCCCCAATAGAAGTCTAAGAGCCCTTCTACACAGCCATATAACCCAGAATATCAAGGCAGAAAATTCCACAATATCTGCTTTGAACTGGGTTATTTGAGTCCTTATTGCCATATATTCTAGGTTAAAGCAGATAATGTGGGATTTTATTCGGCTGTGTGGAAGAGGCCTAGGTGCCAACCAAAAATCTGTCCTAGTAGTTACTCAAACTTCCAGAGCGTAGTTATTGCTGTTCTTGTACTTGTTGTTAAATATATTTATACACTGCCCTTCATGAAAACAATTGCAACATAGGTTCACCCTGATTTTGTTCCTGTTTTACAATTTTTTATTGATTTAAATTAATCCAACCTGGCGACCTGCTGCTATTTTAAATGTCTGTGATTTTACTGGGACCAGACAAAACATATTCTGGGAGAAACAAAACATGGATGGATATCTAAAATAAATCTGGAAATAATAGATTGTTTGTCACTCTGGATGTATACATAGTGTATCAAAAGATCAACATAAATAATAATAATAATAATAATAATAATAATAATAATAATAATAATAATAATAATAGTGCGGTTTTCTGACATGGTATATTTCTGCCGATTCTGTGACTGTTCATTGATTCTGTTCATTGATTTTGATTCTGTAGCCCACTTGTCGATGGATGTCCAGAATCAGCAGCATCCACCGCAGTCCTTTTTATCCTGTGTGACAACCGAGCCAGTATACACTTTGTTTGGGTTGTTTCTCCATAGTGCTAATGGGTTAGGTGCTCTTAGTTCCAGTGTTTGACTTGTGATTTTGTGATACGAAATCCAGAATATATATCTCATTTGCTGTGTCATACTGAGTTTTGGTGTCAATAATAATAATAATAATAATAATAATAATAATGTTTATTTCTATCCCACCCCATCTCCCCAGTGAGGACTCAGGGCAGTTCACAACATACAGCAGCAAATGTTCAATGCCATAAAGTGTGACCAAAAAGAGCAAATAAACAAACCATAAATCATATAATAACATATTAGACATCAACATCAGGCTAGTGAAACATTACGGGAAATGAGGTATCACACAACTAAAAATTCATTTTCACAAATAAACATTTATAATTGAATCTAATAAGAAATAAACATTAAAATTAGAAGCCAGAATTTGAATATAGAATTGAACTATACAAGGATTCAAAACAATTCAAAACACAGTTAAAAGGTTAAAAAATCAACAACACAATTTAATCAACATCCCCTCATTTCAAAACCTTCAATTTTCAAAAATTTCTTGGTGTAAAAAAAAAGGATTTCCTTGCAAATGAAAGCAAAGCAAATACACCCCTTCACCCCATCATTCAGTTTAAGGTTGCATAGGAGGCTACAGTTTGTGAATATTAGAATTTTGTCAAACTGTGTCTTTAGACCTGCAAGTGAGCAAATCAAAAATAAATAACTATACTGAAATTGTATAAGCTAGTTGTAAGAAACTGTATGTCTCCTCTTGCCTTGCTTTGTCTGCCCCACTTCATTTGCATTTTTCCATAAACATTATATAGAACTCTGTTCAAAACATATGACTGCATCAGCTTTATATATGCTGTTAGTGAATGTATTATTGAATATGAATACAAAGTGTTCCAGGGCTCCATTAATTTTAGTCTTTAGAAAGCAAATGATTTCAGTCTCCAGTAATACTTAATGCAAATCCTCTTATATGAAACATATTTTGCTTTCATATTTTTCACATCTAATTAATAACTGTAGTTACTTGGGGCACAGAGTTTTGGTTTTGTGAATAAAAACTGTAGAGAATATTATCTGGGAGCATTTCTTTTTTAGAAAGGACAGTAATAAGCTTGGGGAAAGAAAATGGAACAATCCACAATGGCAAAGTCTGGTGTGATGCCATTGTCAAACTGAACATTTGATTTTTTAAAAAAGTCTGATTTAAAGAAAAACTTCCCCTTTTCATTGTGTTAGGTAAAACATTATTTGTATATATTAATTATCTGGACATATTAAAATTGTTCATGAATGATTCATATTTTTTATTCTACAGTTATAGAATCAGATCTTATTCTTTGAAGCTCTTCTTTAGGCAAAGCTCTCATGGGCTTCCAAGAGTGCATTAGTTGTTTCAGGTTTCCCAGATTAATATAATAAAACCTTATCAAGCACTATCTTTCCTCCCAATTTAAATTTGTCTGAGGCATAGAATTCAATCTTTAAATCGGAGGTGAGGACATGGTCACATGCATTTCTTGGGATTATTTTTATAGTCCTGAAATCTCCAGCCTGTTTTTCCACCTTAAATTAGGGTGATAAATACCCACCACATTCATGGAGATCTCAAGGAGTGACAGAAAGCCAAGTTTATAACCCCTCAAACATGCACAACAAAAAGAGAAAATGGTTGAAAATTGCCCTAAAAAATGGAACTAGACAGAGTTGGTGCAGGTACCATCTGCTGGAGAGATACAGAGAGAAAAATTGTCCCCATGAGAGTGCTAAAAATATTAGTTATGACACCAAGTCAGAGACATTTTATGGTTTGGATAGTTGCATTTTGCTCCACCTGCTATGCCTTTGCTCCACTGCTATGCATTTGGACCCTTCCACACAGCCATATAACCCAGAATATCAAGGCAGAAAATCCCACAATATTTGCTTTGAACAGGGTTATCTGAGTCCACACTACTATATATTCCAATTCAAAGCAGATAATGTGGGATTTTATTCAGCTATGTGGAAGGGGCTGAAGTAAACAGAACAAGAAGTGATGAGAGAAATGGATCCATTTAGGAGATCCCTTTAAGATCCCTTTAGGAGAATCTTATAAATGCAAAATGTATTATATAGGACCTTTCCACACAGCCCTATATTCCAGAATATGAAGGCAGAAAATCCCACAATATCTGCTTTGAACTGGGTTATCTGAGTCCACACTGGGATAATGTGGGATTTTCTGCCTTGATGTTCTGGGTTATATGGCTGTGTGGAAGGGCCCCCAGGAGCTAAATGTATTATATAGAGGCAGAGCAAGAGAATGGCACTCAATTCATGTACTATTGTTCTTTTTTTTCCTTTTCTTAAGGAACCCATCTGTAGCAGAGGTGAATTGTATTAGTTAGCTAGGGTCTGGCCAGTTTGAAAGAGAAAGGTAACTGGAGAGTATTTATGAGTTGAGGGAAAGTTTAGTAAAGGATACAATTTTAACCAAAAGGGATAGGAAAAAAGTCAGGCTGTCAATATTATATGCTTAACAAGAAGCCTTGAAATGATCCCCTATTTCAATGTTAGCATTGTTTCATGGCCTGAGCTTGTGCTCCACTACATATCATAAGAACATGACACACATGTAAAATGCAACAATGACTGCAGATGTAAAATAAACAGTCAATATCAATCCTATAAGTGCAACCAGTAAAATCCTTAAATATAGTCATTTAAGCCATCTTATTTTTCTTGACACCTAGTATTTGTCTCTAGAGTTTAAAGGGGTAATGGCAATGGAGGCAGGAATAAGAAGAAATATGGGAATTCTGTCCTGCCTTAATACTGGGAAAAAGAAATTGCAGCGCAATGGAATGGAGTATTTAGTTTAGTTCATAAACAACATGTCTTAATCAAGAAGGAAAAGTAAGTTTTCCTTCCTTTGTTTTTTATTGGTTACTTCTTGCTTTTTTGTTTTTGTCATTTTATGATGCAACTGATATATATAGCCAGCATTAATTAGACAGCTGGTGAATGGTTAGGAGGCCAATGCCATTTTTAGAGAGTTGACTATAGCTAATTGTGCAAGTTTTTGTCCCTTATTGAGCAGTCAGTTGGTTTTAATTCAAGTTCGAGATCGCACCTTCATTATATAATAGGATTATCCCTTTAATTCATTATTTTCCTCCACTTTCTTCATCTGACTTCATCCTATAAGCTTGATTTCATGCTTGTCATCTGTGATTCAAATACATCTTAAAATAGATCTTTAAAATACTGCACTTGTGAATAACCCTGGCTCAGCATTATCTACACCTCCTGCCAGTAGAGTAAATTTCTTGTTTCCCTCAATCCTAGAAACAGTCCTAGATACAATCCAAAACCATATGTAACCACTGTTACAAGGTAGATTGAAAGTCTGCACAGCTTTTTTCCCTCCATTTTATCTTAAGACACAGATATTTTAAGATCTCTACCACCACCAATAACAAAAGCTTCAGATATTTTTATGGAGAAAACCATTGGGTTGCTTTTTGTGTATTTTTTTTGTTTTAAAAGTTTTTAATAAAAAAAGCAAAGCAAAAATTGCAAGCTGTATCTGAAAACATAAATGAGAAAAATAATATAAAGAGAACTCTGAAAAGTTCTTCAACAGGTGAAAGCTGTTTCAAAGGAGTGGAAATCCTATTCATGCCTGAGTTTCACTCCTACAAAACACATTTTTCTGCATACATGTTGAATAAGCTAACAAAATCTTCTGTCAACAGACTTGAGATATACTTTATATAATTTGTCCTTACATTTCTCTCTTCAAACTCTCCCCCATCCTCCTTTCTCTTTAAACTAGCATTGCTGAGGTTAAATGACCAAAGCTATTTTTAGAGATGTCTGATGATCAAGCTTTACTAACTAGTACAAATTCCAGCTGCAGCAGAAGGGCAGCTTCTCTTCTGAAAACTTTCCCTAGAGCAAAATGGCAATTTCCTCTACAATCTGCAGATCACACTCAGAGGCTGCTAGAAATGCCAAGGAATAATCTTTTTCCAGACAATTATACGATCAAGATTGTTACAGTACCTTCTGCTGTAATCTCAGTCATAATGGTGATGGTACAGCACACACGGGTGAAAGGACCAAGATCTATTGGCAGGCAATGACAGGGTCAGCGCTGGCCCGGGCAGGAGGCAGCAAATTAAACGGTGGGAAGTCCTCTATAGTTGTGACTTTCGGTGGTGGTCTTTTCCTCCTTTCCCCCCTTCTTTTGAGCTATCTTCTCTGCGAAGCCCTGTCCTGCCTGCCCTTCCCACCTCCCAAGGAACTAACCCCTTTCCCAAGGCAATGCTCACAGCTCCAACTGAAGTATCAGCTTCAAACAAAAATAGCCAGGGCTCTCAGCATGGCTTTTTTGGCATCCCAAGCAGCACACTCAGGGACTTGTTTTTTAAGCGTCAAGATCTAATAGTCACAGTAAAGCAGGTAAAAATAACAACACAAAAGAAACTGGGGGAAAAAACTGTTAAAGCTCAGTAGTATCTTTAATATGACAGAGGTTTTTTTTTTCTTGAGGTCTAGATAAAAATATGGAATTTTAACTTGTTGGTAATCTTATCCAACCAAGCTCCAATGTATTCTTAGCACACTCTTACCACATTCTTTCCGGGCCTTATTTGGGTTGGGGAGGATCCTGTGAAGTCAGCTATAAAGACTAAAGAAGAAAATGAACTTAGGTAAATTGCACCCTATTAAAAATCATCTCACCCTCTGCTTCTCTTTCAGTGGCTGTCCCTGCTGGATCAAACAGAGGTTGCATTTTATTCACCCCTCTTATTCCTTAATTCTGTGAGCTTGCATATTAAGAATGTTGGCAAGCTTGGTAGTACAAGATATAAGTGTGTATTTTAAGAGTAATTGCATGGGAGCCGCAGAAAGATACCATTCACTTCTTTGGGTTTCAAGTGCACTTGAATTCTTGTTTCATTGTGCTTTTAATTAAAAATAGCAAAATGACAGTGGTATAGCTAGAGTCCTGAAGGATGCTTTACAGTCTTGCAGACATTGTGGAGTACAAGATCAACTGAACAGTAATATAAAATAAGTAAAGCTGAAAGCACAATAAAAATGCAAACAGTTTGAATCACAATGGCAAACAGCAATTATTACATGCTTGACAATCAGCTGATTCCATGCTCATTCCTTGTGATCAGGTTAGCTCCCAACCTCCAAGCTTTCCAGTCACAATTGAAAACATGGCTTTTGTACAAGACTTTAGGTAATGATTAGTATTTTAACAATAAAACCTGAGGACCCAGTGACTGATTTCTTTTAGCATTTTATGGACTGATATGTTACACAGCTTGTTGGATTTGTTGGATTTTAAATGGGTAGGGTTATATTAGTATGTTGTTTTATAGAAAAGTATGTTTTTAATACAAAAGTATGTAAATGTATGCTGTTTGCTGCAGCACTATGTGTGCTTTTTGTGAGCCACCCGAGTCCCTCCAGGGAGATGATGGTGAGGTATAAATAAAATTTTATTTATTATATTATATTATGTCAAAATTCTCAGTATCTCAACAGAGCTGGGCAAAACCTTCATCTTTGATTGTAGAGCATATGGGTGGGAAAAGCTATCAATGGACCATTGGAATGGATGGTCCATAAGGTCTCATCAAACTCTATGATTCTACACTGACCTAATTAATCTGGGGTGCCGCCTGGGAATGATGTAGCCTGGGAGTTTCCCTGGAACCCTTTAACCATCCAGATAGCTGGCAACACAGAGGGGAGATTTGGGGCACCAGCTGCAAGCAACTACTTGCCAGAATCATGCTGCTGGTGTCACGTTTTCTGATAATATGACTGGGCATCCTGGTGTGACCTCACTAGAAACAACATTGCAATCAAGCTTCTGCCAGGGAGCTGCTTGTGGCCAACTTTGCAGCAGTGGATACATTTTATTTGTGTACAGTGGATTTGATCCAGCCTGATCATGGTGTCCACACCTCCAAATTTCTGGGATCACATTGGAACTCCTTGGAAATTTCAGAATAAATCTCATTTTCCCCTGAGCCACATTAGTTGCTGGATGCTGCACTTCTTTTATGAATCAAATGTGCATCACCTGGAGTCCCCACAGCAAATGAGAGGTGAGTCTACATTATTAGGGCTGTGTAGACAAGGTGTCAATCTAACCTCTCCCCCCCCCCCCCCCCCCCCCCCCGCGACATAGGATATTTTGGTCTTACTGCCATATTCATTTAAAATCTCCACCATATAGTGTTAGACAAATAGGCAGATGAGATATAAATCTATACATAACCATAATCGTCACCACCATTAATGTTCATATTTTTGCTCCCATTTTTCAAATGAATGAATTTTACACTCAGTCACTAAAGCACGTTTATGTAATTTTGAAAATGTGGTTTCTTTTTAAAATATGCTGATGTTTTCAAGCATGTTTATTTTGCAAACACTATCAAATGCCAGTTTGTTTAGATTCTCAACCACATTTTGAATTTGGTTCTTCATGTGAAAATGTAAGCTGATTTTTCCCCATCATTCCTATTAGATATCCATCCTTCCTGAATGATATTGAGCTATGTGGAGAAATGATCTGAGTTTGTATAAGGTTGCTTCATTTGTGTGTACCAGTTTCCACAGTATTCTTGGGGTCTTCTTTATCAGCATATGTCAGAAAGTTATAGCACCTTGCAATATAGTACACCGAGTTTTGTCAGTTATTGTCACCTCTATGGTCCTCACCATACTTACTAAAATCAGATTTTTTTCACACCATCTTCAAGACAGAGCCCCACGCCAGCCATCACATTTTGTTGTTTGATGGCAAAGGCTGCACCCCCAACTAGGGTAGAAGTGTATTGTCGAAGGCTTAGGGTAGAAGGCTTAGGGTACCAACTAGGGTAGAAGTGTCATTGGATGCTTCCCCCAGAACACGGGAGGCTTCCCATGTTTTGCTGGCTCTAGTGGAGCCAACACAGGACCTCTCCAGGAGAGTGACACTTCCCTCATATGATGGGGAAACTGTCACCAAGTGGGCCCTGTGCATGGGGCAACAGGTTTGTCCCACTGCACCTCTCTTTTGTCATGGAGGTCAGGTAAAGCAGGATGCTGATGAGGTCCTCTGTCTACTCATCCCCTTCTTTTGTGGGGCTATTTGCAGCTATGTCTTGTTTCCTATTCTTTGAAGTGACAATTTTCTCATCTGAACTTAAAAAAATATATTCATGGAATAATAATGCAAAATTTCTATTTCATGGGTGCAGCAAAGTACAACCACAATACCCACGAGGGTGCATAGGTTTCATCTACTGACATCTAACAAATACATCCCCTCAAGGAATTTCCTCAGTTCTCCAAGTGATTGTATGATGTGCTTCTTCCAGAAGTTAACACCAGACGTGCATACAAAAAACAAAAAACAAAAAAACCAAGGTCAGCATTCTGAAGTCAAGGCACAAATTCTAAGCAATAACTGATAAGGATAGTCCAAAGCTGTAGTCTAAGTTCAATTGCCAGAGTCAATGCTGGAGAATTACAGGATCAGGTCTGGAATAAGCTATAGTCAAGGTACAAAAAGGTGAGCACCCAAGAATAGCAGTCTGAGTCTAGTCAGAGAACAACATTGATTGCCACAAGTCTTTGGCCTAAGCCTCTTTATCCTGAGATATCAACTGCTGATTGTTGAGAGCTTGTTTCTCAACTAATCTTGCAGACCTGCAAGACTCTGCATACTCCCTTTTGCATTCTAAAGCTGGAAATATGTTTAACTCCTTGGTGCTAGTTCTGTTGTATTTGCCTGAGCTTGCTCATACTGCTGGGCAATGTGTGTCACCTCTGAAGGCTCGTCTTTAGTAGTGACTGAAGAAAGCTGGGAAAACTGCTGGGAGCTGCTGACCTCACCCCCACCCCCACTGGTAGGAAAACACAATCAAAGCATCCCTGACAGATTGACATCCAGCCTCTGCTTAAAAATCTCCAGAGAAGGAGACTCTACCACATTCTACTGCCAAACAGCTTTAACCATTAGGAAGTTCTTCCTGATGTTTAGGTGAAGTCTCTTTTCCTGCAATTTGAACCCATTGCTCTGTGTCTAGAGCAGCAGAAAACAAGTTAAACCTTTCCTCAATGCAACATCCTTTCAAATATTTCAACATGACTATCATGTCCCCTCGCTCTTATTTTCTCCAAGCTAAACATATCTAAACAAGCTAAACTTTGTATTTCTAGTCACAAAGATTACTGCAGATGCAGACTGTAGCCAGGAAATCAGAAGATGCTTACTTCTTGGGAGGAGAGCAATGTCCAGTCTCGATAAAATAGTAAAGAGTAGAGACATCAGACTTGCAACAAAGATCCGCTAGTCAAAGCCATGGTATTCCCTGTAGTAACCTACGGATGTGAGAGCTGGACCTTAGGGAAGGCTGAGCGAAGGAAGATCGATGCTTTTGAACTGTGGTGTTGGAGGACAGTTCTGAGAGTGCCTTGGACTGCGAGAAGATCCAACCAGTCCATCCTCCAGGAAATAAAGCCCGACTGCTCATTGGAGGGAAGGATACTAGAGACAAAGTTGAAGTACTTCGGCCACATCATGAGGAGACAGCAAAGCCTAGAGAAGACAATTATGCTGGGGAAAGTGGAAGGCAAAAGGAAGAGGGGCCGACCAAGGGCAAGATGGATGGATGGCATCCTTGAAGTGACTGGACTGACCTTGAAGGAGCTGGGGGTGGTGACGGCTGACAGGGACCTCTGGTGTGGGCTGGTCCATGAGGTCACGAAGAGTCGGAGATGACTGAACGAATGAACAACAACAAACATATCTAGCTCCCTAAGTTGCTCCCCATAGGGCTTAGGTTCCACATCTTTGATAATTTTGATCAACTTTCTCTGGACATGTTCCAGTCTATCAACATCTTTCTTGTGGGGCTTAAAACTGTACACAGTAGTCCAAAGCAGAACAGAATGGAACGATGACTTCCTTCAATCTATCCTGTAGCAATTCTGTTGATGCAAAGTACCATAAGAAATAATGAATTGCAGGGTGGATTTTATTATCATTCGCTCTGTAGTCCCAGCCATAGTGTCATCCATACGGTATGTTGTACATCCTGTGGAAGTTCTGTGCTGGAGTCTTGTGCCTTTCAGATACTTTTGGACTACAATTCACAACATTCCTCACTACTGGCTATGCTAACTAAAAACTACTGGGATTTACTGCCCAACAAGATCTGAAAAGCCACATTATTATTCTATTAGCTACACGGTTGGAAGTAACAGAACACATATTGAAACAAATCCGATACCTATCATCATTTGTT